TAGTTAGTAATAGAATAATATAATAACTAAACTATATATATATATATATATATATATATATATATATATATATTCTTTATGTAAATTCTTGTTACTAAAATTGTATTTTTCTTTATATTGAAAAGAACGTTATGCCACTTGTTTTTTTGTGACCTTCAGAATATCTCTGGATTGTATGCCTACACAATTTTTATAATTTATGTGTGAAACCATCAGTACTTTGTAAAGTTTCGTGATTACATAATTGAGGAAAAAAAAACAGACAATTGTGGTTTTGCCAGTAAAGATGGTTTTACTAGCAAAACCATGATCATTAATAAATTAAGCATTTGTGAAGCTACAATTGTCAGTTTTTTCCTCAATTTTTTTTGTACTGTTAGTTTGGGCTCCAGTAGGTTTAAGTTTTAGTATTTGATCAGACAGTAAAATCTTATTGCCACTTAATCAATTGCTAATTAACAATATTAATTTACTGGAACACTAATAACAATGCTGCAAATTAAACAAAATTGTTAAACATCGACTTGTTAATACAAATTAAATAATTGTTTACATGGAATTCCACAAGTTAGAAGTAACCACAAATAGTATTTTGTGTGAATTGAGTATAAAGTAAATTATTATCTTTGCAATTTTATTTGTTTACTGTGCTTTTTGCAGCAGATAAAAATGGGTCTAAAAATCGTTGATATTACTTGACATTGAAGCCAAATGGAACAATACTGGATTATAGATCAACTTTAGAACTAAATGAATATTAAGTGGGTAATTAAGAATGAAAACCTCCTGGTAGTTTCCACTGTTGCTAGAAATACAAGAACAGATGTGTTTGATAATCGTGAGATACATTGTTTTCGTCTGATCCAATCCTAAATGAAATTGCTTTTGATTTCAGTTTCAAAACCTTGTGACTTGAAGCATTTTTTTATATTGTCTAATATATGTTAAATGTTCTATTTCTTAGAGCGTTTTGTTTACAACCTCTAGCACACTACTTTTGGTATACATAATTTATTATTTTACTGTAATTCTCAGGATCATTCTCTTATTTTGCTTCTACGCTTTGTTTAGATATATATTTTTTATTTTAGCGTGTGTGTGTGTTTAGATTTTACTTTCGTTTTCAGAGTTAACGGTTGAAACCTTTTACTTATTAATAGTTGAATTATATTTCATTCAACATTTAGAACTTAGATGAACACTACTATTTAAAAACGCCCTTATAAATCCCTTGAATCATGGTGGTAATATATTAGGATATATGTACTGACTTGAGGTGACAACCTATTAGAACATTGGTATGTGCAAAATCATTGGAATTGGCGATCTATTCGGACATAGGTATAAAGTCCAGGTGTAATTATATACCATCACTTACACCTGTGCATATATTTAGATAGATCCAATATTTAACTTCTAATGTTTTGTATAATTTCGGTTTACTTCATAACCTTTCGTATAATTCGAATACTCAAGGGATTTGTACACGACCGTTGGACAAAACACCATTTTTACGGATGATTATTCCACTTTCAGGAATGAATCAAATTATATATATCCGATTTGTAGAGTGAAAATATGTTTAAAGACATTATAAGCAATTTTACTTTGCAAATCTTGTACTGCTGGCAAGAAATGTGTCTATATTATCAAGATCAAAATAGGCGAATAATGCCTAGCGTGTAGATAAGATTATTAGTAAGCAAACAAAATATTCGGTGATTTTATATACAACATTTAAAATATTCATAATGATATTAAAATACTGATAACGGCAATACTCGGGGCTAGATTAAGGATTCGTGAACACTGTCAAATTTCGTAGGGGAACCTCGGAACTGAACTTCATAAATAAGTCTAATACAATTGGATACTATTTATGGACTATACCTTGAGCAACACACAAATACAAACGATGGGTTAATAATATTCAAATTATTCTTATCTTTATAGTAAACATAAAGTAATGGAAACGATTTTTTCTTGTTAAATGGACCTGCAAGTATTTGTGAAAGAATTGTTACGTCTCTGTTCGTTAGTTAATTTTCCGTAACTTCGTTCCCGACAAAACTTTAGCGACACAAGTCCTTTCTTAAATAAAACTGGTTTATTCTTTCTGAATATAACTTTGCGATACAATTAATTTCAACAGTCGCGCTATAACAAATGCTATAATTATCAACGAACATCTCACATGCTCAACTTCAACAATACTCAGTTCAATTACACACTCTCTGACTGCAGTTCAATTACTCATTGCCCCGTCACGTTGTGACC